TGGTAACAACAACCAATCACGACATGACAATTCCTTCCCTTAGCATTTGTAATAACCCTGCTTCACKGTGTGTTTCCGTCCATGGCTTTATCGGTTCTTCACTACTTTCCGGTGAGTTCTTGGTATGTAACCCTACCACCAGACAAGTCATCGTCTTACCAATCTCACCCTCACGGTTAGCTCCAGACGTGAGAGGCAAGTGCTTGGGATACGATCCAGTGGACGATCAATTCAAAGCTTTGTCTTTGATGTCTTCTCGCTTACCTAACCATGATTGTGTAGAGCACATGGTACTAACTCTACTAAAAGGTGGTGATAAGAAAGAATATAAATGGAGGCAGATCCAAAGTAACAACAACATTCCACCTTATTCCCCTGTAACTATGAAGTTATGCATCAATGGTGTTGTGTATTATGGTGCTTGGACTCCAAAACATAGGATGAATCCAGTGATTGTCTGTTTTGATGTTAGATCTGAAAAGCTAAGCTTTATCAAAGCGCCTAAAGATGTCGTGTTTTGGCTGAACGATTCCGTTTTGATGGAATACAAAGGGAAGCTAGCTTCCATTGTGAGATACCCTTATGATCGTTTCCATACTTTTGATTTATGGATACTTGAAGACGTCGAGAAACATGAATGGTCAAAGCAAACATGTGTGTTTCCCCTCTCTCTGTGGGATTATGTTCCGGGTTCAAAAATGTCTTTCCCAGGCACCAACAAGGCCGGTGAGATCATTTTAGCCCCAACATACTTGTCTCACCATCTTCAACCTTTTTACGTTTTCTACTACCATGTAGGAACAAACAACATTAGAAGAGTTAGGCTTGAAGGAATTGCAGATGATCAAGAGTTTAGGCGCTGTTATGGAATTGCAAACTATAGAGATTCATGTAATGTTTATATCTCACCGGAACATGTCCAAAATTTAACGTTTTTGTAATTTCTTACAAGGATCTTTAAGTTTTACCAAACAAATTGTTTTGCTACTTAATTAGATGTCTTCGTTTTGATGATCAGATAAAGAGTTTAGTTACTCTGAAATATCGTTTTGTGTTTCTTTTAATTGTTAAACTGTTTGAAAAAGAAAATCATTTGTTTTTGCAGTCACAAGTGGTACTGGTAACACAATTGCTACTTCACCTTTTTAAGGAGGGGGACATTCTCTTCCAAATGGTAACACAATTGAAAAGTTGTTTGAAAAAGGTTCATAAACAATTGAAACTTGAAGAAAACATAAGATAAGACATTAGAGCACCGTTTTACTACAAATGCACACATTTAACAATGGAATCTTCTCTTCTTCTTTTTTTTTTTTAGCTAAACAAATCTCAAACACTGTAATTTAACATTTTTAACCGTGGAAAATTAGTTTTACCAAATTCACCTTTCGGAACTAATGCTCGAAGCTTTCTTATGCTTCCCACGACGTTCTTTGACATCTCTTAGCTTCTCAATCTTCACATTCTCATTGTTAGACTTTGACACTGATCCTTCTTGAGCACTGCACATTTGATGTGACTTCAGCTTCAAACCAAACCCGAGTTTCTTCGAAACGTTTTCCCACGTTTTGCTACCGCCGCTTCCTGAACCACCACCACCACCGCCTTTTGTCGTCTTACCGAGTTTCTCAATCTCTTGTCTCATATTTGAACATTCTTTCTCTAACTCGCAAACCCGCATTCGCATACTGTCCATTCCGACTTTCAGGACTTGGTTCTCTCTTACCGCGGTTGCCCATCCTCCTCCTTCCGTTGATCCTCCTGCAAATCCTCCGCTTCTTAACTGTCTTGATCCGCCGTCGAGGTTGTCTGAAACCAGAAAGCATCCCGCTACAGAGGTTCTGAGCTGAAGCTGCTCAAAGAAGAGGACTTGGACGATGATTCTTAGTGGTAATCTCTCGTTCTGTGCCGCGTGTGTGCAAGCTTCTAGAGAGAGTTTCTGGCAATCTAACAACCTGCAAAGATTCTCTCTTTCGGTTTCTGCTAACCACGGATGATGCTGTGAATCATCAAAAGAAGAAAACAAAACTTAATGTGTGTTTTCTAAAAAACCGATATTTTAGAAGATGCAGTGAATTAGAATTGTTACCTTGAGGTAAATGTCTATTGCGCGATAGAGTCCATCATCTAAGAGTCTGGCGTATTCAGGAACAGAAGCAGCTAAAGCTTGAAACTTTGGAAGCTTGAGATTGACATCAGGAGCAACTTCAGCAAGATAACCATCGATCAGCTTTGCGACTGCTGTCATTGGTGTTAGAGATTGTGGTGATCCAATCAAATTTCCGTCATCTACTGAAGAACAAGGAGAGCCACCCCCACCAGGCATAATCTGATCCGTAGCAAGAAAATGGTCCAAGATTCTTTGCACAGAGTCAACGTCGTAAAGAGTCTCCATAGTATCAGAAAAGCTAGGCATTACAAGATCTTCCAACGCCGCCTGGTCAAGCTGCATCCCTATCCTCTTCTCCAAATTTGCTAAGCAACCCGGACTAGCTTTCAAAATCTTGGCGATTCGAAGCATGTCAACGAAAAACTTGGTTGGAACTAGACCTTTTTGCATGCGGAGAAGCTCTTGGATCTCTTCAATCAAGTACTTCTGCTCTTCCTCAGACGGTACATTTCCCGAGCCCAAAGGTGTGCTGAAACGGCCACTAGATTCAGGTCCACCGCGTCGCCTTTTTAAGCCAGGCAAGTATTTTCTTGTGTAGTAGGTTAGAGAACCGGCAATGATGTCTTCTCTTATGCCTCGGGAATCCATGATCGTGATAAGTCTTTTAAAAAGAGGAAAACTTAGCATCGACGCATCCTCATACCACCAATCTGAACTGGTATGTTTAGGTCTAGCCCCGGTGCTTATCCCGTTCCATAAAACACTACCACCTGGACTCTGCATGGGCCCACCGTGCTCCACAACTGGCCATCCAAATAAGTTTGGGTCTGTGGATGCTCTCATGGCTAGTGACTCGATGCATTTCTTCGTAATGTTCAATTCATCAGCATACTGGAGGACCTCGTCGCAGCTTTGAAGTGCTTTTATTGAATCTTTCCAGCTTTTGAGCACCACTTGATTGAAAAAAGTTTCGGTTTGAGCAATAAGATTTCCTTCCCCATACTCTTCCGTCATTTCGAGATGCTCAGCAGCACATCTGAGATATACAACGTTTGAAGCAGTGAGTTCGAGCTTCACACCGTAGCAGAATTTGGCAACTAGTTCAAACGTCTTGTCTCCGCCAGGAAGATCAGAAATCTCAATGAGACATTTATCATCCTCTTCTTTAGATGCCTCTGCAATCCTTCTTTCCATGACTCCACTTCTAGAGAGCAATGGAAACTGCAGATAGCAAAAATAGAAACTATAAGTAATCGCAACAGAAGTCACAGTTGCATCGGTGACTCTTCCAACTCATGTAGTCATTACAAGAAAATAAATAGCGAAAAACCAAAGTTCGATAACAGCGGCTGTATCAACCTCTAGATCAACATAAGACTCAGAGACAACGTAGAGATTCAAAGATACAAACCAAACACATCTTTGCTACAGAGCACTCAATGAAGGGCAACAAACAAATATTCCAGATAAAAAGGCATGAGATGCTATAACTTAACACAGACATTTGTTACAAGAAGAGAGTGTTGTTGTCTTGTTCAAGCTAAATTTACCTTGTGGAGATGGAAAGACATCTCCCCAACTTCAACAACGATATCACTTGGAAGTCCAGTTGTACAAAACCTGCAATTAAAGAAGAAGACAAAGTCAGACAAAAGGAATGAGCTTTGACTCAGTAATGCTGAGATTTCCTTAAAGACCAAAGGTCTCAAATTAAGACCAAGACTGAGCAATTACAAGGACCAAAATCAAGAAGAAGAAGCACAAACTTGGAATAAAAAAATACATTATAAAATTAGAGAAGATCAAGTGAATATACCAAGCTTGGCCTTGTCTTTGGAAAGCATCAGATTTAGATCCCAGCTTCATGCAAGCCATAGTTTCTCTTCTCAGAATTCTTCAACAAACTCACCAAAACCCTAAAAAAATCCCTCAACCAAAATCAAAACCCTAATGTACGAACAAGAAAAAAAACTGCTAATTTCTCAGAAAGATTAAGACTTTGGATCCATCCAGAAATACCCAGATCAATTTCACTCAGACATTTCAACAAACACTTAAGCTGCTCTCTTTCTCCACATTCAGTAACAGAAACTCCACACAAAAAATCAACCTAAAACCCCAAATAATCAGACAGATCTCTTTCCACAAAACCACTAGAAGACCCAGAATCTCAAATAATCTTATCTGCAACACCAAAATTCAAACTTTTTCTC